CCAACCATATATATATATGTATATATATATATATATATATATATATATATATATATATATATATATATATATATATATATATATATATATATATATATATATATATATATATATATATATATATATATATATATATATATATATATTGAAAATGAAAATATTAAAAAATTAAAATCTTCAGACACACTGGGTTATATATTAATATTCTTTTGTTTTTATTATTATTTCATTTAGATTCCTCGACTAGTTTCGGCCAACATGGCCATCATCAGGAGAAAAATACTTTTCTGCTTGCTGGTAGCAGTGTGTGTGTGTGTGTGTGCGCGCTCGCCTGTGTTTGTATGTATGTATGTAGGTAGGTATGTATGTATTGTTAAAACAATTCTTGTTTGATTTGATATCTCCATCTTCTCTTACTGACAACCATAATCTGCCAAAAAGTTTTTGCACGTGTAATTAATGGTAAAAATTTTGGAAATATTGTTGCAGAATAGACACAAAGAATCAAGAAAATGTTAAAAATATTAACGAAATATTTAACATAATTAAAATTCTTCATCTTTCATCGTGAAAAAGTAAAAGAAAATTTTGATCAGTAACAGAATCCGGAAAAACAATTGGGTTGGGTGTGGGGCAAGGGAAAAGAGGCAAAGAGTGAAGGAGACAAAGCGGCCAAAAGATAATAAAAACAAACTATGAAATTGCTCTTACTTGCCCTCTCTCTCTCTCTCTCTCTCTCTCTCTCTCTCTCTCTCTCTCTCTCTCATATCTGTGTGAGACGCACGTGTGCCTACAACCATTTGTTGATAAGCTTTTCTTGGGAGGTGTTGCCACTTCGAGACGAGTTGCTAGGCAACAATCGGTCTATGGCTGTTAGCCCGTTGTGACACACGCTTCATCTTACTTCTGAAAACACCATCACCACCCCAATAACGACCACCACCTCCACCGATGCAATTCAATCAATTCTTCCACGTCATGCATTGTGGGGTTCTTGTCTCCCCCCCCCCTGCACACACACAAGAAAAAGATGAAAACGAAGCTACTCCCTGTGTCTCTCTGTCACAATTACTCATTGCCTCTCTCTCTCTCCCCCCTCTCTCTCTCTCTCTCTCACTCACTGTCATTGCATTTTGCTCTCTGTCTCTTTCTTTCTCTCACTGTCATTTCTCGATCTCACTTACTGACTTGGATCCCACACTCTCTTTTTCTCGGTTTATCTCTCTATCTCCCGGCACCTTTGCCTGTTTGTCTTCACAGCTTTCATTCTCTCTACTCTCCCTTTCTCTCCGACTGTCTGTCAGTCACCCGCTTATTGTATTTCTACTATTCTCTCTCTCTCTCTCTCTCACTCTCTCTCTCTCGGCTTTTCTCTCTATATATCTTTCAATATGTCTCTTAAATTCTTTCTCCTTTTCTATGTCTTTCCCTGTACATCATCACGTTTTTCTCTTTGTTTTGATTAACCGCTTGCGACTTCTCCTGTCTCAATTGGCTGTGGCCATCTCTTGCTCACTCACTCACTAACCCACCCACTAACTCACTCACTCTTTCTCTTGATCTCTCTCTCTCTCACTCTCGCTCTATCTTTCTTTTAATCTCTCTCCCCCTTTCTCTCTTGCTCTCTTGCTCTCTCATTTACTCTATCCCTCTCGCTCTCTCACTAACTCTCTCTTTGTATCTCTCACTCTCTCTCGAGCACTCTCTCACTCTCTCTGTCACTCTCCTCTCTCACTCAATCCCTCTCTCTCTCTCTCTCTCTCGCTTTCTCTCTCTCTTACTCACACTCTTTCATACTCTCTCTCTCTCTCTCTCGCATTCTTTCTCTCTCTTCTGTTAAGCTTGGAGAGTATTTATACATTCTTATTGCTCAAAATAGAGTCCAATAATGTTATAAAAACTTCGGAGAATTTCAGTAAAATATCTTTAATCATTTCTAAGATACAACGGTAAAAACTTAATCGAACAATTGGACAATTTCGCTGTTACAAGATCTGAACAATTTTGCTGTTACACCCGGTATGTGTGTGTGTGTGTTTTGTGTTTTTCTGTGTGTGTGTGTGTGTGTGTGTGTGTGTGTGTGTGTGTGTGTGTGTGTGTGTGTGTGTGTGTGTGTGTGCTTGTGCTTTGTGCTTGTGTGTGTGTATTTTATAAAAGAGAAGCAACATGAATCTCTGCTGAACATTTCGATGGGGTGTTTCGTCATATTCTACAAAAATTTAAGGCTCTCAATCTTGTCGTTAATAGCAACACTTTTCCACTCACTCACACACACACACACACACACACACACAAAAAACAAAAGGAAAAAGATTAATGCTGCATACTAATTCTCTTGTCTCTTGGGAAACTGTGTCAGTGTCGATAAAAAAATTAATTAGACTTCATTAGTCATAACACAACATTTTCCATCGAGAAGAGAGACCTGTCACCTCTCCGAACAAATTGTAATATATAAACATTTAATAAAAATTCACATCACGGAAAATTATCATCAGAATGTGGCATACAGGACAACAGTAACATGCTAATTAAACTGTAAAAAAAGAAAACGATTAAAAAATATTGCAGGTTTCTGCATCATATGACTGTAACCCACCACACACACACACACACACACACACACACACATATATATATATATATATATATATATATATATATATATATATATATATATATATATATGAAAAATCACTCAGAATTAACCTGTACAAAAAAGACAATATTGTTAAATATAAATGACAATAGGAAAACTGTAGTAGGAAACAACGCGTTTCGCCCGATGTGAAATTTCTCAAGGCAAAAAAAGAAATGAATTTACTTAAACAAAGTAACAGCAAAAACAAAATGTCCTTAGTAACTGGAAGATTTTAGAGAACGCTATTTTCATACTGTCAACTGAAGATTTGGCTAATATTCAATGACGGCACTCTCGAGGATTTTCTTTCTGAGTGAGTTATTTTCTTTTTTTTATGAGTGTAGCATTTTTTTAAAATCAAAATTGTGGTTGAATTTATAATAATAATATTTTTTGTTGTTTTCTTCTTCTTTTTTCTTTTCGTTGTTGAATAAAGAACGTAACCCCTAAAACCCCGTTGTTTAGTTTTTACTTGTTTTTGTTTTGTTTTGTTTTTTTTCTTTTTGTTTTTTTTTTAATTTTTTGTCACGTGGTCATGGTTGTTTTTGTTTAAGCTATATATTCTTTACATTTTTACCTCTTTGGCCAGTTTTATCCTGATTATCCGTTTAGGTAAAACCTAGGTAGGTCTACCTGGCTCTTTATATTTATATTAAGTTTTCTCTACTTCGTGTATTGAGCACTTTACGTAGTTGCTTTTACTCGTTTTGGAGTTTTTTTCTTTGGACTCTGGACGATTGTTTTCGCCTAAGTTTCATGTTCTTAGTTCTTTCTTTTTTTTATTCCTCATTTTCCTTGGGTACTAGTTTGTTCTACTACAAGTCAACATACTCAAGGTCTTTCCAAACTAGTACCACCATTTATATATATATATATATATATATATATATATATATATATATATATATATATATATATATATATATATTTGAAACATTGAAAAGTATTAGTCTTTCGACACTTTTTTTTTTCTTTTAGCTTTCACAGTTAAATTTCTATTTTTGCCACGAACATACTCAAGGTCTTTTCCAAGCTAGTACCATATATTATATATATATATATATATATATATATATATATATATATATATATATATATATATATATATTGAAACATTGAAAAGTATTAGTCTTTCGACACTTTTTTTTCTTTTAACTTTCACAGTTAAATTTCTATTTTTGCCACGAACTTAGTCTACACCGGTGTTGATAAGACAAACGACCGATACCTTCATCTACAAAATAAGCTATTCCCCATATGGGTAATTTTGGATTTTATTGCTTTTTAATTCTTTGCTCTGTAATAATAAATACTTTGACCTCTTTTTATATTACTAGGATCCACTTGGATTATATACCAACAGATCTGTTACCTTTACGATACACACACACACACACACACACACACATATATATATATATATATATATATATATATTATTACACTGGATATATATATATATATATATATATATATATATATATATATATATATATATATATATATATATATTACATTGGAATCGTAATCACGATCGTGATTACAATTTCAACGTAATAAATTATAGCCATGGAATATTAGTGTTTGAGCCTTTTATATATATATATATATTCCTAAAGAACTATTGGCCTTATTTCTTTTTATTAATCCGGCAGATTTAGCATGATGCCGAACTCAGGAAATTACTAATATCTTTCTTGCCAATGACTATCCGGAAAGTGTTGTTAAACAAATTTTAGACTTAAAATTTCAAAGTTTAATGAAATTAAAATATTTGGTCCATCTAAGTGTCCCGTCTTCATGAGATTGCTCTGGAATGGCTTCTTTAGTCAATCTTGCGCTGATAAGATCGCGTCTACTGTCATGCACTGCTTCCATTCAGTAATGGTACAGAACATCTTCTTCTACTAGTAGTGCTTTCCCATCTGTCCGTAAGGATGTCTTAACCACCAATCAACAAAGTTCCGTTATTTAGCGTTTTAAATCTCGGTGTGGGTTTGACTATGTGGGTAAGATTATCCAGCGGCTGGAAGTGTGGATAGTGCAGCACGTGCCTGGCTTTAGACGTAGACATGTTCCATTAACATCCGGGCACTCGCAGGCGCATGTCTCCGCTATCGGGGAGCATTTATTGAGTTCTGTTACTTGTGGGTACAATTATTCAGTGGATTTTTTTTCTCTCTACTGCACAGAGAGGCGGTTGTTATCAACACTTCTTGTCCGAAGGGAGCTGAAACATAAACTAACACTTTTTAGTGAGTCTTTGTCTGGTTCTAGGCAACTTTAAATTCCCCACCTCTTATCTATCTTAATTAATGTTGCAAGGAGGTTTATTTCCATTCAGTATTTTTTTTCTTAATTCCAGTGACTTTTTTTCTTCTGACGAAGCGTCGAACGAAAGGTACTTAAAATTTCAATTTTTAATCAATGATACTTTTGTGTCGGCCTTTCTGATGAATAAAATGTTCCCTGTTTTAAGAATACTATGTAGATGGTGTAGCACTAAAAATCTCTACATAAATTTTAAATTCATTTTTCGTTTCACCTTTTGAAAGTGAAGTCTGAAGATCCAGAGAAAAATAAAATTCTCTGGTGAAATAAATTATTACAAATGGAGCCTTAAAGTGGTCTGTTTTTCTTTAAATTAAATTATTCACTCTGACTTAAAATTGAGCTCTCAGGATTCCATCCTCCTTGGGATTATCCATATGAATTACTAAGATTTCCGTTACTTAAATATATATATAATTCTACGGATATTAATTTTCCTTGAATGTATTTAATCATAAGAATTATGATTCATCAGACAATTCAAATAAGAAAACCGTGAAATTTTCAGGGCTATTTCTAGTATATATATATATATATATATATATATATATATATATATATATATATATATAGTTGTATATCTAGGCAGCAATCCATCGTTTATGCATGTTTCATTAAAAACGACAGACAAGGTACTACGGTTAAGCTTTTTATTTAATTTTCCTGTGTTCGAACAAGAGCTTTCTTTTCTGGATAAAGAGTGAATAGAACCCACAATGTAGTAACCGTATTCAGAAATTAAAACATCTCTATAAAACACTAAAACATACACATAATGCGCACACTCAATTAAGCTGAAAAATTGAATCATCCTTCATAATGGCTAAAGGTATAGCCGAAAGCGCTCGGAAATATAAAAAAATTTGGACAGTTTTTACACACCCTCTGTCGATGTTTTTTTTTCTTTTGACTAGGCAGTGCTGTGCTGATTGATTATTTTCAACCAACACGGATGTCTTTAGTCTTTTTTTTTCTTTTGCTGATCTTTTCCCCTGATATCGGTTTCTTCAAATATAGTCTTTTTTTACAAATTGTATTATCCGTTTTTTCACACCGCCCAGTATAGGTATTAAAATAATAATATATATATATATATATATATATATATATATATATATATATATATATATATATATATATATATAATGCATTTTGTCTGATTTATTTCTGAGACTTAAATAAGAAAATAATTTACTGATTTTTTTTTTCAGTGTATTTTATAACATCGGATTAAAAATAAAAAATTAAATGTCACGAACTCCTTAAGAATTCTAAATCGGCTTGATGAATTCTCTTTTCGAGCAATTAACCATTACACTACTCTCCTTGGAATCGTAATTTCAAAATCTAAGCTTTTCCAAATACTTGGACACTAATCATTGGCATCGGTAAAAAGAATGCAACTATCTCAGCCATAAGGCAAATTATATGTTTTCCCTAATTCATGTTTTAATTACACTTGCATATGAAACTAGGGATATGACAAGCTACTAAATGGACTAAGACTTACTTCTGTTTCTGTAAATAAAAAGTATAATCGAACCAAGTTACTCCCAAAAGATGACAAGAATTTTTTTAAAAAATCAGAGAGAAAACAATTCTAATTCTAAAACCATCTTCACATCGTCAAAATACCCTTATTTTCATGTCCGAAAACTAAAATCATTTTCTTAAGTAGCCTCGTCAAATCAAGACTGACATATAGATGTTGTACATGGCACCAAACCCGTTCAGAAATATCTAAACTCCCAGCTGTTGACAACCGCTTTCTCAGATCAATGGTTAAAAATGGCAGAGTGAGTGAAGGTCGTGAGTCTTAGCGAAGACTATCCTTCTTCGAACCTTGTGGACTGGCCCTACAGGATCAAGAACATTGCCAGATAACAGAAACCACTTCACTTGATGGCTTTCAACTGCAGCAACAGCTAAAATTGATATCACATAGTAGTAACTTAGGCAAGGTTACTGAATAGAATAATCACACGGATTTTGGTAATGAACGATAATACTTAGGACAAGAACAACACATATAAGATTCGCCAGCGGTGCGTAGAAGTAGTTAACTAAGAAATGAGTCAAGTGAATTCCACTATGAATCTTCAACGGCAGGATACCTAATAACCGCCCCACGCGGTCAGATGTGGCACAAGGCTGAATTTAATGTGGGGTATCCGATGTTAGACATTTTCATGACGGTCGTCCTCGAGCATAGAATCCAGAGGTTGGCAGTGAATATTTCGGAGACAGTAGGAAAGCGTAGTGCAGGTTCGCAGTGGATATCGCAGCAAGGCAGCAGAGCGTAGTTCTTCCGTCTGTCATGTTCGCCGGACAAGTTTCCTCTGGTCCTTCCGGTGGGAAAACAAAGATGGCCGCCTTTATACACGACGGATACAATGTTCAGCGGCTTCTGATTGGTCAACCTTCTATTGGTCGACTATAAAGGGAAATAAGTCATTCTGACTCGCTCACTAGTTATATGTATAATATACACAAAAAACCGTAACATCCGAGCCCGTAGGCTTGGCCAAAAATTCCCCATAGACCCCGTATAAAACGGGGTCGGGTAGCTGTTTCCCGAGACGAGACTCTGCTCTTCGACTCTGCCTCGTCTGGGGATCCTCTCTGCCCAGAGGCAGAGAGTTTGACCAGCACAGCTGGAGACGAATCTTCGACTGCAGACCAACATACAGTATTTACAACTGTATTTATGCGAATGGGGACATATCCATTATCGTCCGGAGGTATGATACTACACACATGTAAGTCGAAAAGAAAATAATGACATAAATATAATAACCCTCCCCCATCAGTACTGGAAAGGGCAACAAGAGTTCCTGCACTTCAGAAATCTATTCTCCTGAAAAATTTTCTGAAGAGAAAGATTTTATAAATCTCAACTGACAGTAATAGTTGCTGCATGGTCAATGAATACTGAATATTTCCTTATAAGGAAACGGCTAATATTAATATTAAAATTTATACCAAAGGAAAAATTGATGAAGGAGCTGACCTATAAATATTTTCTCTTGCGTTATTTATTTATTTATATATTTTCGATTATTTGATCAAAAAATATGCTGGCGGTCAGGATCAAATATTCATCATTTGTCTGTCTGTGAGTGATAGCTTTGAATGTCCCAAAGGTCGATAAAAAAAAAGAAAACCTATTGATGCCTACATTTCTCTGCGAAATTATTACTCTATATATTATGAATGTTTCATCAGAAAGTTTTCATTTCATATTTGGAATAGACTGGCAAAAATAACCACAAATATTATTGCCACAAATAATTCCACATAAGAGTAAAGTCTCGAACACACACACACACACACACACACACACACGAAGATCTACTCCACAAATAACACTTCTTGGCACCCCACAGGTATATGCGCATACACAAATACATTCATAAACACACACACACATTTATACACACACATATGTGCATACACACATACATACGTATACACATACACAAACGCGCGCACATACGTTTAAAAGATCTGGTTCACAAATAACGACAAATAACACATCTTGGCACCCCCATGCACATATGCGCATACACACATACATACACAAACATACACACACATATGTGCATACACACATACATACACAAACACACTCATACATATACATACACAAACATACACTCATAAGCATACACATGATTTAAAGTTCTCCACAAATAACACTTCTTGGCACACAGACACACACACGCGTGTGCGCACACATGCAGACACACACATGCACACACACATACGCATGTCCAAAGTTCTCGTCCACAAAAGACCACAAATAATTCTTCTTGGCACATAAGGTAACATACGTATACAGACCTTTATCCTCATCTTCATTGTCATATTCACAAGGTTTCGGCCGTTGTACGCCCCGGCCTTCTTCAGGTGATAGGAATTTCGAACCGAACTCTTTATTTCCTCCACCGGGGTAGATTGTTCTAATTCCACGTGCCATGCCTCTTCCGGAGGTCTCAGCTATTTCCTTTTAAATCAACTCTCCACGTTTTTTAGTTAAACACTGCTGTAGCCTGGTATTGAACTCATAACTCTTTGGGTCTTTTCACTGGATCTAACCAACGTCTTTATCCACTATGCTATGTGTCCTCAAGGACGAAGTAAAGGTTCGGTGCTAAATTCCAATCACCTGAAGAAGGCCGGAGCGTACATCGTCCGAACCGTTGTGAATATGGCAATGAAGATGAGGATAACTGTCCGAATAATGTAAATAATCTAAATAATCATTCCCTAACCTTTGAATGGCTCTTGGGCCTTATAGTGTTTTTTTTATTATTTTTTTTTAATATCCTTGGGAGTTTTCATTTTGCTTTCTATCTATATTTACTTTTTTTCCTATTTCATGTTCTTTGCTTTTTCTTTCCTTCCTTCCTTTCTCATTTTTTCTGTTTGTATTTCTATTCCCTTTTCTTTTTCTCTCTTTCACTCTAGTATTTCTACTGTTAATTGATTCTTTTTTTCTTTCTAATTCTTTACTTCCGTTTTTTTTCACTTTCCTTCTTTTTGATTTTCTGATCTTTAATTTATTTCTTTTTTCAAACCTTTTCTTCCTTTTTGTCTTTCTTTCTGTCTGTCTTTCTCTCTCTTTCTTTCTTTCTTTCTTTATTCTTTCTTTCTGTCTCTTTTCTCAGTTTCTATTTATTTTCGATTTTCTTTTCTTTTATTTCAATCGAATCATTCAACATTTATTCTTTATTTCCTTTTTTAAGATTTTCTTTTTCTTATCATGATTCGCCTTTTTTGTCTCTTATTATTTATTTTTCTTTTTTTTCTATCCTTCTTCAGTTTCTTTTATTCATTTTAATGTTCTCGTTCGTCTTTTATTAACTTCTTTCATTTATTCATTTATTTATTTCTTTTTTTCCTTTTCTTTCATTCATTCATTCCTTTCATTTTTTAATTCATTCCTTTCTTTCTTTATATTATTCCTTTCTTTTTCTTTCTTTCTTTCTTTCTTTCTTTCTTTCTTCCATTCCTTCTATTCCTTCCTTCCTTCCTTTCTTTCTTTCATTTATTTTCTGTTTTCCACCGTTCGTCTGTCATAACCTATTTTTTTCCTTTTCCTTTTCCTTTCCTTCTTTCTTTCTTTTTTATTCTTTTATTCATTCATTCAATACTTTCCCATTTCGTCTTTTAAACTCTTTCAATTTTTCATTCTTTCCTTTTCTTCAGATTCTTTCTTTCTGTCTCGTGTTTAGTTGTTTATTCTTCTATCTCCTTCATTCATTCATTTTTTCTATCCCTTTCTTTAGTTTTTAAATTCTTTTTCCTTTTCTTTCCTTATTCCCCCCTCCAATTTCTTTCATTCATTCATTCTAAACTTCTCTTTCGTTCTTTATTGCCTTCTTTCTTTATTTCATTTTTATTATTTTATTTTATCATTCTATCCTTTCCTTTTCTTTCTTCGTTTTTCAGTTGTTTATTTTATTCTATTTCATTCATTTTTCTTTCATCTTTCTTTCATTCATTCTCTAATTCTCTTCCCTGTCGTCTGTTATTACCTTTTTTTCATTCATCCATTCGTTTTATTCTATTTTTTCCTTTCTTTCATATATTTATTTATTTATTTATCTTTTTCTTCTTTTTTTTTTGACCCAGACCTTTACAAATCCTTTACTTAACGTTCTCCAATGGAGACCCCCTCCTCCCAACGCATTCACTTAGAAATTCCCGCCACAAGCGTTTTATCTGTTTTTGCCCGATTTCCTCTCCCACCTAGAAATTCCCTTTCAGTTACGTTTTCATTTCCTCACCTTTCATCACAAAAGAGATTATCAAAAGTGGAAAGGTAGAATTGTCATTTCAATTTGTCTCTGACCTAACTCTTGTCGCTTCAAACGTTGTCAACTAAATCACCTGCCATTTTTCCCTCTTTTTTTTTTTTTTTTTGTTGAGAGGGGCTTTATGAAGTCCCAAACAATACCAGAAGTAAAGTAGGTCCCTCATTACACAGTGGCAGAACACGCACTCGTTGATAGACATATCGGTAGAAAATGTTCTCGAAAAGAACGCACCTGCCCTCACTGTCACGTGGGCTTAAATGAATGTAAAATTATTTGAATGAACGAAAGAAACGATGAATGAACAGACGAACATAATCAGTTCGGTGTGCGTCTGTCTGTCAGTCAGTGTAATTGTAAATCGGCAAATCGTAGAAGGTGAGGCGCCTTTACACAGAAGAAAGGTGGCATTAGTTCCAATGACCTTATAAGTAAAAATCTCACGAACGCACATACGTTTACCCCGACGAAACTCTCTATCTCTTTCTCGTCATATATATATATATATATATATGTATACATACACACACACACATATATATATGTATATACACACACACACACACACACACACATATATATATATATATATATATATATATATATGTATGTATGTATTACAATGAATCATTCATACAAAAAAGTAAATTAGTAAAGTTAATTATATAAAATGGCGAAATCCTTTCGCAAACAAAATTTTAACGTTGCATTAACCTACAAATCACTCGATGAATGTTATAATCCTTGTTTCTAATAACTATAAGCTGTATAAGGTCTTTTTTTTAATATGCAAGTACTTTCAACTGTACATTCCGTCATCCTCAGACATGGAAATTATTTTGTTTTTAGTAAAATCCAGGAAGCATCCCAGACGAAAAATTAAATGCGAATCGAAATATGTTCTTTTTTTTTTTAATGTGTTATTGTTAACGAATACAAACTTTTGGAGCGTGCAGTCGCAACGCTAAGGTTAAATTTTTTGAAAATTTAAGAAAGTGTCTTTTTTTACTAATAGGGCAATTTGAGAATTTTTTTGTTGTAGGAGTTTATCAGTCAATGTGGCATGAACTAAACTGTATTACGTCTCCATTGATTCTTAAATCGATACTGTTTATATCTATAAACGCTCTATTTATAGCAAGAGTATAGCTGGTCACATGTATTCGAGATTACCCAATTTCACTCACAAGGCTTGGATCAAACCGTGGTATAGTTTTCAGGTACTTAGGAAAGCTTGAAAACGGGGTCGACCTCTCCACTCTAACAACATCAGGAATCGAACATGTGAGATTTGAACCCCGGTCTCATAGTCAGAATACAAACGTTCTAAACACTCGGTTACGTGCCCATATAGCAAAATTTACATACATTACATACATACATACATAAAAATAATAGATGGTCTCTCGTATTCGAGGATACCCGTCTATTAGGGCGGCTAGCCAATCCCTACTGCAGACGTTCGTTCAAGCACATTCGTGTTCGTGGTTTATACTGCAACTATGCTGAGCAGACCTTAGTTACAGTTTGTGGGAGAGAGCGTGTTATCAAGCGTGGTCAACAATTTGAACAACGCCAGCACACTCAAACCCTCGGTCACGATGACTTGTGACTTCGTGCTAACACAGCTATCGACGGCCGCCGGAGGGTTCCGTCTACCCAATTTCACTCATAAGGCTTGGGTCAACCCGGGATATGGTTTTCAGGCA